AGATCCAATATAGGACGCGTTTTGAGTTAAAATTGCATTTCCAAAAAACACGACTTTGTTAAATCTGGAACCTTCAGTTAAAAGGTGTTCAAATCATTGGGCCGGGTCACACATTACATTGCAGATTATCAACGGGCTCAAGAATTTCAGCAGCCCAATTCTTTGCAATTTATGTAGAGATATAATGATTTCAGAGTGTTTTCCACATAACTCGAGAGGAAGTATTGAAATTCAACTTTCAACATGGAATAGTCTAAAAGGAATTGAATTGGATTAGTTGTTGGAAATATGATGCTCTACCGTTCTAAATCTCTTGATTTAATCATTCAACCTTCAAAATTCTTCGGGTAAAACGAGGGTTAATTTTATTTTGGGTAATTGATAGGGTTAATCAATCCCCATACTCACCACGCTATATTTCTTGTTCACCTCATGCACTCGTGAAGTCACAAAACAATAACTCTAATCTGATTTATTTTTTGCACTATATTCAATTCCAATTTCAATCATCTGCCAAAATTCATTGAACATTCTAAAGGAATAAACTTAATAAAACTATCATCAACTGAAAAAATATGTTCTTATACTTTTTGTGATGTACAAAGATATAAGCACGAAACTAGTACATTTTGTGGTGAGGTACGAATACTGTGAATTGTGGGGCTTTTAGGATTACATAATTTCAATATATTCATCAGCTAAATATATTTTCATTCAACATTTACTAGGTACACCACTAAGTTGTACAATTTTTTTACTTTACAATTCAATGAAATAAATTTTTTTTAGAGAAAATCCGAGAGGTTATACATATTCTGCTTTGTTTCATCCTGTATTAATTTTGACCAAAAAAAAATAATAATAATAAACAAAAACTGAATACTCACATGTATAGTTCAAGGACAATATACTATGAAATTCCCTCTCTTTTACAATAGATAGAATTGGCTAGTATTTCCCTGCTAATTGAAGCACGCGGATATATTTCATTTTAAAAAGTCAATCTAGTTTGGTTGGTGGTTTTAAGCCACCAAAGTCAAGTCTTTATGGAGGAGATTTGGATTCTCGTACCCCTATTATACATGAACATAAATTACAAAATAGACGTACCTCCAAAAAAAAACTGAGGAAGCCAGGGAAGTTGGCAACACGTTAAAGAAAACCTATCTTTACACTACTGATCTGCTAACTTGTGATAGTACTGAAAGAGCCTTCCGCATATCCTTTGGTTTCTAAACTCATCCCACGATTCCCACCAACTTGACTAATGCTAATCCTCACTTGTCCATTTTACGTTGTACTTTGGCGCGCTCCCAAAACTTATTTTTAATAGTAAATTCTTTCAATAAAATAATTTTACACATAAATTTTTTTTTTTCACATTTTAATTACACATTCTTCCCAAAAGTATACCATTACAAAATTTATCTAAAAAATGGGCTCAAACATAGACTAAATTACAAATTAGTCAACTCAATTAAAAAAGTCAAAGGAGTTTATATTTTTCAATGCCAACTAGTTTCACTAGTTGCCAAATTATGACAACTTTTGATACATGAACTTTCATATCTTATCAAGGTATCCCTGACTTCTTACTTTCTTTTGATATTGAATTTGATTCTTCCTGAAATTGAGGAATACAAATAATAAAAGTGGGAGAAAGAGTGGGAGAAAAAGAGAAGGATCATGCAAACAAAGTTGCTCGTTGACATCCATGATTTGTCTTGTTTCAAAATCTTAAAGAGCCATGTGTGAGTATATTCAAATATTTAAATTAAAATATTACTTGAAGGAGAAATGATATAATAAGTATCAATATTTAATTTATGTTAAGCAATTGTGACATGACATATCAATTCATTGATGTATAATAAATCTAATTCAAATCTTGACATACTTATTTATCAATAAATTAATGTACCATGTTATGCTAAGCATGGTGTTTAGGAGATCATTTCTTTTACTTGAAGCTTTATTCTTAACAATGATAAACGATGTTTGGTGATTTTAAAGTAATTTAATATGTCAAGATGGAATGGTCAAGTTTTGATTTTGTTTTTCAATTTAAGGTTTAAAAGCTTATTCCCAGTTGAAGAAAACAATATGAGAAGTATGCAATTGAGATTTAGTGTACATAAATGGGTAGTACTTGTAGTCCATTCAAACATGGACATACTTGAATGTTCATAAACATAAGCCAAACATAGGCTTATGTAAGTTATAAGTAATGGTTTGTTTTCCTTATTGTCTATGTTTTTCATTCGAAGTTTAAAAAATTTAATGTTTAATTGAAGAGAACTATAATAGTCGTAAATTTGGAGGAGATCTTGATGGAATTGCCACGCGTGAAATTGAACACAATTTTAAATAGCCCCATTTTTTTCTTGAAAAATAAAATACATACACAATCCTTAGATTGAATAGTTAACCCAATCACTTGTTGAAAACACCCAACATTCAATTGTATTTTTAATGTAAAGCACATACATGAGAAAAGAAATACAATATTTCACTAAGATTTGAAATAGTAGTCTCGAATTCAAGTTGATTATATTTCACCTTTTTCACCGAAAAAGCCAGTCAAACCATTCCCAATTATGGTCCTTAAGAGTTGGATTATTCAGATACGTACAAAAAGAAAATTCAAATATTTGAAATCTTTCTCATTGAATAAAATCTCAATCTTAACAATACTCAACTTGGTGGTAATAATGTATATTAGAGTACGCATCCTTATAGAAATACCCTTGTTGCCAGGGGCGGATCTGGAGGGGATTATAGGGGCTATAAACCCTCTAGATTTTGGGGGGAAAAAGACTTTTTGCTTAGTTTTTTTTTATTAGAAGATACCCTATAAATTTTATTTTTGCCCCCCTAAGCCAAGTTGTCTGGGTCCGCCACTGTCTTCACGTCTCTTTAGTTCACAACTAGAATTATCTTGAGAAGGGTATTTGCTAGCTTTGACATCAATCATCTCAAAAAACTTGGTTTTTAAAGAAACTTTTAAAATGCTAAAAACCCGCAAATCAAGCACCCATAGAATTGAGCCCTGTTTGATTCCCATTTTTTTAAGAATGAGAATGAAAAATACAGTTACAGGATCCACGCAAGATATAAAAAGTGAGATATGGTGACTTGATATCATAGATAACGATCATATTTTTTATTTTTGAGGCCAAAGAATGGGAATCAATCGGGGGCTGAGTGTTGTTAAATGTGGACTTGAACATGGGAATCTTTCAACCTATGCTACCTAGCTAAAACCTAAAAAACCTCTTCATCAAGTTAAATCACAGTTTATAAATAGTGCTTAATTTAAGTCTCTTAGGAATGCGAAAAGTCGTTAGCAATGAACGGCCTAAAGAATTCAAGAAATCTCGCTTCTGAACCTAAAGACACATACAAAATTGCATATATACTCCATTTTTTCCTTGGAGCAGGAAATTTACTTCCATGGAATGCTCTAATCACTGCAATTGACTACTTTGGGTATCTTTATCCAAACAAGCATGTAGAGAAAGTATTCTCTGTAGCATACATGGCTTCTTCTTTGTGCATCCTAGGTGTGTTGTTGAGTTGGGATTGGTGCAGGAAAAGATTGAGCTTTAGATTGAGGATGAATTTGGGATTTTCTATGTTTGTTTTGTCTCTAATGTTGACTCCAATAATGCACTGGATTTGGCACGGAAATGGACTTAAGATGAAATCCAGCATGGGTTATAATCTGGTGGTTGCAACAGTTGTGATTTGTGGTTTGGCAGATGGTCTGATTGCAGGAAGCCTGATTGGAACTGCAGGAAAGCTGCCAAGACAATATATGCAGGCGATTTTCGCTGGAACTGCTTCGTCAGGTATGTCTTATAATAATGTCAATCGACTGAACAACACAATAAACAAAACTTTGACTTTATTTTATTTTTTAATACTTTCCGATTCACTTACCAAACATGCCATTTACATCCATTCACGTCAGCAGATGCATCTTAATGTAGATCTTTGTCAACTTGTTTAATATTCGACATTAATAAAGCATACCGCGTACAGTTATGTGGTTTTAAACAAGTATGTTATGTTAAACTAGATAAAATTAGACAGATTTCAACAAAAATATGAACAAATTTTTCGCATCTCTCTTCTTTGATCGTGACAGTTTTTTCTAATCTAGCATATTTGGCAACGATTATAGGAAAGTGAACAAAATCCCAGATTTTTCCATTTTCAATCATGGATTCCTCTGTTCACGGAAAAAGGGCAAGAAAATTTCTCAATGGTCATTTTGAATGCTCAAGTTAGTTTAGCAAATATGAAATAATAAACGTAGAGAAATTTGACAAAATATATACACTAGAGAATCAACTTATTTCATACCCTAATTTGAGCCCTTTTGTCGATAAGTGCAACTCCAAAATCCACATATACGAAAAGTTGATGTGCCTTTATTAGAGTAGTTGCAATATAAATATGTAGCATAGTTGCAATTGAAGGCTCCTTCTTTATCGACTTTCAGCTGGAATGGACATATTTGCTTGAGTAATACTATTTAACATTAGTTGCATTACAACATAGTCTAGGTGACATTGGATGGAATTAAAGGATATGATTAATTAAATGAATCATTTATTCTCGACAATTAATTGAGTCTATCATTTAATGACACCTAGAATGGTGTTGTAACATAGAAAATTATTAAAGTGAGGGAGATATTTTTCAAGTATATCGTAACAGGCGGTTGGTCCTTTAGTGCCGCTATTGAGGGAGACTGAGATATTAGTTTGAGTTCTTTGTCTTGACCTCGGGCACTCGGTCATCTTGTGACCTTGGATCTACATCTTGGTCAATACTATGACATCACAACCTCGATTCTAGTTTTTAGGGGAACATTCTAATCTCAAGGTCTTGGACATCATGTTCGCGCCTTGTAATTGGTCGTTTTTGTGTCTTTGTAGTATCATTAGGTACGTTAAACTAGACGAACATGGAGATGACAACATGCACACATCTCACATATCTAACTTCTTTAATATCATCTAAAGGCTATTTCCTAATTAATATATTTGCAGGTGTTCTTATTTCTATATTGAGGATCATAACAAAGGCATCACTTCCACAAACCCCACAAGGCCTCAAAACAAGTGCCAACTTATATTTCCTAGCAAGTACTATAATTTTGATGGGTTGCATAATTTGTTGTAACTTATTGTGCAAGTTACCCTTCATGCAACGGCACTACAATCTTGTTGAAGAAGACACCCAACAGCTACTCTCAAGCCCTAAATTCTGGGAAATTGCTCGAAGAATACGAGGGCCAGCTTTCGGAATTTTCATGATTTATACTGTTACATTGTCAATTTTTCCAGGATTTTTAGCAGAAAACATTGAGTCCAATCTTTTCAAAGATTGGTACCCTGTTATGTTGATTGCAGTGTACAATGTATCAGATTTTGTGGGCAAGTCATTGACTGGAATATATGTTTTGGAGAGTATTGGAAAAGCTACTTGGGGTTGTATCGGTAGGATTTTGTTCTATCCTATGTTTAGTGTTTGTTTCCGGGGGCCGGAGTGGCTGAGGACGGAGGCTCCGGTGGTGGTTCTGACACTAATGCTTGGCTTAAGCAATGGATATTTAACAAGTGTTGTTATGATTCTTGCTCCTAAGGCGGTGCCGCAGCCGGAGGCGGAAATAGCTGCCATTGTCATGGTTGTGTTCTTGGGTTTGGGACTTGTGGCTGGTTCACTCGTAGGATGGTTTTGGATTATTTGATTTGCAATTTCATTTTCGGATTTAAGTTGTTTTTACTTAGGTGGTTGGACATGTACTTTTAATTCTTAGCTATCTTTATTTGATTAATTTTAGATAATTGTTCAATGAGATGTTTGAATCCTTATTTTGTTTGATTATGCTCATATTGTGTTGAATAAAGATGAGCTACCGGAAAGACGAAAATGTTGATGGTGTCAAAATGAGTCGATCAATTCAAATTGGGTCGTCGACATCTAAGGCCAACTCAAGCCCAACATGGGTATCCAAGATTGGCTGCCTATCTAAATGTAGACCTTCGCAACAGGCATGTAGCCTTCTGTGTATTGTCCGATGGAGAGCCAACTCTCTAATTTCTTAAAGGGAACAATTCATTAACTCCTATATATAAAATTACATTTCAAAACTAACAAACTTATCAAATTATTTCAAAATTCAAGAATTAACTCCAATAAAAAAGATATATATAATATATAATTAATTGGAATTAATTATCCCCATCAAATTAATAATACCCACACCCCATGCCACCCACCCACTTACCTATAAAACAATTTCAAAAATAGAATTTTTTTTTCGAGATTACACCCCCAACCCCGAGAACTACCTCCACCCACCCCAACCTTTAAAAAATTTAAACTGTTTTTTTCGAGATTACACCCTATCCCCCCGAAATCACCACAAATTACGGCTGACTGTGTTATGTGTGACCAAATTTTTTTTTAACCGAACTTGTGTTATGTGTGATTAACTGTAATCAAATTTATTTTTAATGTGACAGTATATGACGATCTAATTGTGACGATATTTAACCAAGTCACTAATCGTGTTATTTGTGACTAATAGTGATCAAATTTGTATTCAAAGTGATCAATTCTGACCATATTTTTCTTCAATATGATTATTTGTATCGGGTCAATTTTAACTATGACGAGATATGACACAGTCACAATTAACACAGAAATGGTCACAACCAATCACATTAAGTAAACACATGATCATCATACCAAGTTGTTGCTACCAATACCACTCCCAACATCGTCAAAAATCGAATGCACACTACCTCATCATGACCACATCCACCACTAGCAACATAACTATCACCACACCACCAACATAACTACTACCAACAACAAAACAACCCATAATAAAAAAAAAAAAAATCACAATCGCTATTTGCAAAACATCAACAACCATCCTAAAAATATGGTTAAACAATAGATCTGATGAAAAAAAAACCCACCAACAAACTATGCACATCACAAACCATCCATAACAGATCAGATCACAAAAATCACCAACAAATATGTCATTAAATAGGCAGCATCATTGGCACCACCTCATAAGCAGCATTATCGACGCCTAATAAGCAACATCATCAGCACTGCCTCTACTGTGGGCAGCATCATCTACCAACAACAAAACAACCCATAATAAAAAAAAAAAATCACAATCGCTATTTGCAAAACATCAACAACCATCCTAAAAATATGGTTAAACAATAGATCTGATGAAAAAAAAAACCCACCAACAAACTATGCACATCACAAACCATTCATAACAGATCAGATCACAAAAATCACCAACAAATATGTCATTAAATAGGCAGCATCATTGGCACCACCTCATAAGCAGCATTATCGACGCCTAATAAGCAACATCATCAGCACTGCCTCTACTGTGGGCAGCATCATTGGTGCCTAATAAGCAGCATGATCAGTACTGCCTCTGCTGTGAGCAGCATCACCGGTGTCACCGTAGCAGCGGCGCAGCAATGCGCCTAGTTCGAATGATATGACAAGAGCAACGATGGCAATAGCATCATCGCCACCAATAAGCATCATCACAAGTACTGCATATGCTGCGTGAGGCATCTTCGAGACCACTGCTAAGGTTACACCTGGTTTAAACGCTGCGCAACGACATGTCGTTGACATAGCGAAGCTTTCGATTACACTGGAGATGGTGGGGTAAAGGTGGGTGGGAGAGTGAGCGGGTAAAGAAAGAGAAGATAGAGAGAAGGACTAGGGGAAGAATTTTGGATTTTGCTCCTCTACCAGACCAGGTAATGATCTGGTAAAGGAGCCTCTCTCATAGCAGTCGGTCCTCCATTGGGACCCATTATTAAAAAAATGCCAAAAAACACTCACTCCTACCCTCAAATGTGAGTGGAACTACTCTACTAGATCTGGTAGAGCAACACGGTCCGAATTTTGGGGTTCGAAATGAATTTGATTTTGGGATAAGTGGGATGGGCATGGGTGGGGTGAAGGGTGAATATGTAGATTATGTGTAATTAAGTTTTTATTAATTATAATTACTAAAACCTAATTATCACCTAATTTTGAAATGAAATTTTATCTCCTTATTATTATTATTTTTTAAATTAGTCTTTAAAATTGGGTTTTTAGGTAATTTGTCCTTCCTCTCAAATTAATGAGTTTTAGCCTGTTTTCTATAACACTTTCGAACAAGTAAAAACATTAATAATTGCCCTCAATTCGACCTGTTGACCAAAAGATTGGCCGAAGTTCATAACTCTTGGCCTTGGTTGGCTTGGGATCGTTGCTGCTTGTGTGCGTGGTGCATGACGGAAGGAGCAAAACTTGGACATTATGCGACTAAAGAATATATAATTGAAGTTTTCAGTATATTTGGCCACCAAGTCCATTTTACAAAGTTGTGGGAATAAATGCATTTTGTATTATTTGTTACACTGACCAACCTGTGGTGCAATTTTCATTGGATCAATATAAAATTGTAACACGAGCTGATATATCTATGGTCAATTAGAGTAAGTATGTAGTACTTTAAAGCTAGCACACTTCAATTTAAATTATTTCTTCAGCTTAACATAATTTTAGAAATTATTTTCTATGATAACTTAAATTTTGGAAAATGACTTTTTCTACTGAAAAAAAATTACTTCTTCCACAACTTTTAATCTTAAGGGTTGTGCTGTGTGTACACAATAGTGTACATTGTGTACACGCGACTTCCCCTCCATCACAGCCGCGTGTACATCACAAGGTGTACACACAGTATTTTCCTAATCTTAATTAGCAAAAATGCTCTTATAGGTGATATGATTAGATAATAGTTCAATGGTGCACTAGAAGTCAAAAACATATGTTTCTCTACTCTAGCTGAGTTGACAAATACGTATTTCTTGAATCCTAATAGCACAAGATAATGATTATTTGATTTTATTTTTTTTTTATTTTACACTCATTTTCAACCATACATTTAAAAAAAAAAATCAATTTCAAGGTTTTTTGTATTTTTTTTTCTTTTAACCACATATTTTCCCCAAAATAAAGCAGCTTTTCATATAATCACTCCAAGCTCTTAGTAATAGTAAAACTTAGATTAAGAAACCCTTTTTGGAAAAATAAAAAATAAAAAAATGGGCCGATTTGGTTCATGTTTCAATTTTCAGTTTTAAGAGTATGTCCTAAAATTGTTAAAAATGTGTTTAGCGTGTCATTTTAAAAAATTATTTCTCAAAACAGAAAACTAGAAAACAATTTTGATTTCAATATTTTATTTCATAAAATTTGATTATTAAATGAAATAGAACAATTTAATGTGTATATATATATGTGTGTGTGTGTGTGTGTGTGTGTGTGTGTGTGTGTATACACATACATTCATTCATAAGGTAATGGAACTTTTTAATAATGTTATAAGCAAACAAGAAGATCATATAGATCCAAAACTCAATTTATTAAAAAGTTCAATTACCTCATGATTGAAAGGTTCAGGAAGTTTTCTAATAAACTTTTTTGTTAATTCATTCCATTTGTTCTTAGGACAAATGTAAAAATATTTTGAAAATTCACATATACACAAAATTTTTCTTCTGATTGATCTTGAAGATCAATAGCTTTTAAAACTGCTCCTCAATGTTCTTGAGATACATCTGTTTCAATTATCATTAAAGCCAGAGAAGAATCTTACAAGAAAAATTCTTCCTACAAAAGTTAAAAATGATAATAAATTGAGTTCAAAATATGGTTAATAAAAATAAAAGCTAACGAAGTGGTTGTTTTTAATTTTTACTTTTCTAAAAATGTTATAATTTTATTTGTTCAGAATTTTTATTTTTTAGTTTTTAGAATTTTAGATTTTATATTTTCAACATTTTTGTAATTTTCACTTTTTCAGAATTTATCAATTTTTTTTAATTTTATATTTTTATTTTAAAAAAAAATTATTTAAACACTTATTTTCAATTTTTTTGAGTATTTTCATAATTTTCATTGAAAACACTCAAAATGTCAAAAAATGCATTTTGAATTTTATGTTATAAGTTTATCTTCTTCTTTTTTTTCGAAAATGCATTTTTAAAAATACCAAATTAAAAACGTTTTTAGTGTTTTGCAAAACTGAAAACAGCTTTGAGACGGTAAACCAACCAAAGCTTATTTATTTATACATAATATCCAATATTTCTGTCAAAGAAAATAGAGAAGCTGATTTTTCTTCATTGCTGCAATAAAATGGAGAAAGAGATGAAATAACTGGTTTATGAATTTATATCTCATCAATCAAACATCATATGGTTTCATATTCAAAGGAAAAAACAAAATACACTAAAATTGCTGGTTAAACAACATCAAGTTTCATTACTAAACACAAAACAAAAGTTCCATGATAACATTTTATTTGCAGTAGTTGCATTAAGTACAACCCGTAAGAGCAGGGAACCTAGAAAACAGGACCAAAGGATCCCATCAAAAAACCAGGACTAGGCAGTAAAAAAACAACCTTAAGAGGCTGCCATGGCCAAATCCATGTCTCAGACACCCAAACTCCTGAATCATCCAAAGCATCTACTGACTATGACCAGAAATACCCTATTTTACAGAGGACAGAGATGAAACTCGATTAGAGTTTCGAATTCTAAAGACACCATGCATTTCCCTAGCAGCCTCAATATATAGAGAAACTAGAGAAAGCTTTACTTAAGGTACAACAGACTATGCATTAAGACAGAAATTGAACAACCCGATTGATTATGTGCCATAGGAAGAAACATGTAAGCAAAACCCGGTAACTGTATTCTCAGGAAACCAAAGGCAGGGCAGTCTCCCGTATGAGAGACTAAAAAGTAACAATAGGCTTTCAAACACGAAGAAGCCTACAAAAAGGGTTGAATAATAACAATCCGCCAAGGTCTCCATGGAAAACAACTGCTTCTACTTGAGTTACCCAAACTTCCCATGGTATATGACTAAAACCCACTGAGAACTACATTTGCCGTTTATGAGAGAATGTCACATCTCCACAAGTTCTCAGTGAGTAGCTCAATCGTATGGCTGCCAATGGAATTGCAGTGCTGGAGATTTAAGCCAACCAGTGTCCTTCCCAGTTTCTTAAGAGCAGTAATGCTCTTGTTGGATATCATAGAGCAGCCTGATAAGGAGAGAATCTGCAGATTTGGCTGCACTCCACACGATAAAGCATCAACACCAGAATCAGTGATCGAACACTTCGAAAGATCAAGATCGTAAAGCAATGGGCAGTTATTTGCAAGTACCTCCAAACTTGCATCTGTAACCTTGTGGCAACCATCAAGATTTAGCAATTCAAGCGCTCCTCCATGCAACCTGGCTAGGGCAAATACCACTTCGTCGGTCAGATTCACGCAATGGCTAAGATTGACCTTAGTGAGTCCTGCCTCACAGCTTTCCAGAAGAGGGAGAAGACCAGTATCTGTTATCCCACATAGTCCACTGAGATCTAAGTGATGTAACTGTGGACAAAGCTTCCCAAGCATAGCCAAACTTGTACTACCGAATCCCAGGCAACTTCTGATGGCCAATGATCGCAGAGATTCGCTTGGAGAAAGCATTAGAGATTCTGGAGATAGATCCTTAATTCCCATGCACTTCACCAGGGTTAGAGATTTTAACTTAGAATTACAGTTTGAAATAGCATTGAGAATCCCTGTTTGGGTGATCCGGTTGCACTCCTCTAATTGCAAGCTCTCGAGAGAGCCCACAGCTTTGGCAAAAGCAACAAGCCCATTGTCAGACACAAAGAAACACTTTCGAATACACATTTGCTTCAAGTTCGGACAGCCCTTTCCGATTGCTTCGAGGCTCAAATCTGTTACCCCCCGACATGAAGTGATTGCCAAAGATGCCAGTGTTTGGAGACCTCGTGCGTTACCCATCACCCAAAAGCCCTTTTGGCTCACATTTTGAAGTCCGCTCAAGACAAGACTTGTAATAGACTTCCCATAGTGCCCTATTACAGCAAGAGAGCAATCCGAGATATTAAGAGTTTGAAGTTTCACCTTCATCAAAGAGGAAGCCGATGACAAGAGGCTGGCAACGCCCTGATCCCTAACAAGTGGGCAATCTTTAATTGTAATGGATTGCAGCTTAGGGCAACATTTTCCGACCGCTTGTAGACTCTCATTGCCAATGTTCAGACAAGATTCAACTGTTAATGCAGTCAAATTTGGACAGCTTTTTGCTATTGCAACTATACTCTTGTTCGAAATTGAAGGACATTGGCAAAGGTCAAGCTTCTCTAATGAATGACATTCCCTTGCAATCTCAAATAGACCTTCATCACCAATAGAAGGGACGTTCCACAATGAAAGAAACCTGAGGGAAGGGCAACCACGGGCAATTGCTGACAAACCGAGGTCAGTAACACCCCGATCAGAATTACTTCCTCGGATCGAAAGTTTTCCAAGTCCACCACGCCTGGAAGTACAAACTGCAATAGCAGCAAGCCTAACATCTGTTGCTTTCTTCCCTTCCACACACCTAGTTAGGTATCCATCACACTCCACTGCAAGATCCTCATCTTGAGAGATCGATTCTGTATTATTGGAGGCCAGATCCACATTCATACCATCTGATTGTCCCTGAGGCACCTTGCTCCGGTAAAACTCAGAACTGCGGACACCACTCAAGATTGTTAGCCAGCGCTTGGAAACACAAGCAGATGCGCTTCTCTCTCGGCCTCCTGGCAAGTGTCTAAAGATCTCAAATAGGCATTCATCTGGGAGCCTGTCAATGGATGGTCTTTTATCTTCAAATACGCTCCCTTCGACAACCAATGGGCCACTGATTCGTGCACGCTTTCTAGCAGGGCAGTATATATCCACATGGGAACCAATAGATAACAAGATGCCCGAATCTCCGGAACAAAAAGGACCCCCACTATAGAAATTATCATCACCTAAAAAAGGCAAAGAAATGACATCAGGAAAATTTGTCTCGTTGATCTTCAATTTAGAAAAATGCTAAGAAACCCTTAATGAGATTTGAGTAAGGATCTAAATTCCCATTTCGTTTTATTCGATCGAAGAGGCTAAAACTATTTCATTGATGAAGGCTAAGAAATGATAAACGAAATTGGTAACAATAATAATAATAATCCAAATTCCCCAATTGCCACAATCTATTTTCTTTGATGAGCATATATTCATTAAAAACTTTCTATCCAGTTTTCACCTCTAATCAGCTTCATAAATTTAAGAATCTATGATCATCAAAATAGAAAATAATTGATTTTAAAATAACTTGAATACATATATACATAACCCTAACAACTAATTTAAGCCCACAAGGAAAAAATAATAATTTTCCAAAACTTACATTTGCATATTCAAATCTAGACAATCTAAGCATCAGAAGACTACATCAATCACAAAATTCCATCAGAAATGCAGGAATTTATTCTAAGCACAAAATCAAATGTTTATTCACAAAAATACAATATATTTTACCATATCCAACATCCCAGAACAACCCATAGATAAAACAGAACCGGAAAATTCATAGCACGAATCAAGAAATTTACATCAAATAACGCATAAAGAAAAAGCTTCAGATAATTACTCACCGCTGTAATTAACAAGGGCAGGCATAGCTTTTTTTCACAAGAAAACCTCCAAAAGAGAGAAAAAAAGATCAAACTTTTCAACAAATACAACACAACCCAGATCAGATTATAGGACGAGATTTGCATTCCAAGGGAAAAATAGGCCAAGATTTCTTGAAGAAACCCCAACAATAGCTGAGGAAAAAAGGAGAAAGTGATGAAAATAATCGCTTTTTGGTTGTTTTACAATTCCATTTTGCAATGTAGTCCGAGTATTATATATCTCATTGTAAAATTCAATATGCATGTATATAATTTTTATTAATATTATATTTGCTGTGTTCAATGAATCCTTCCCTAAAGCTGGTTTGTTAGGTCACAGCTCATGTCTAGCCACTTGCGCTCAGTCTGGACATCCTTATTACTAGTTTTCGTCATTTTAGATTGTTTCAAATTTAACATAAAATATACTACATATTTATTCAAATATTATTTTTAAAGCACATTCACTCTATAATTTTTAAAATGTAATATTATAAGAAAAGAATAAGAAATATTTTAACTTATCTGTAAGTATCTCATAAAAAATATAGAAAAAAATAATTTTGTGAATATGACATCGACGATTTTCTTTTGGTGATTTTCAACATTATTACTCTCGGTAATTTGCAGATGAGGAATGATTAGACCGACTCGCTTTCATCATTTTCCTTTCGTAGTCCAAGGGAAACTTTTTATAGGAGGTGTTGCGCTTTCTCAACATATTTCTTTAGACAAAAACTCCATTTTTTCCTCTTTTTGGATGAATATGTCGAGTTCAATTATTTTCGGAAGTCCAAAAATGAGAAACATGTATAAGGCACAATGTGTCATAAATTTAGTACACAGCGAATAAAAAGGTGCTAAGCTCAACATGCACATATTTTCTTCCATGGTCAATGTATTGGAAATAGAGATGATAAGACGACCACTATGCAACTACATGCAATGTAATACTAGCTAAATGACGTGCTATGATGAGATCAGTGAACAATACGTGCAAGTAATGGACAATAACTTGTACCATTTTTTTTTTATTTTAATTTAATTTTTTTTTTTTTTTTTTTTTTTTTCAATCAAACTAAGCTTAACCATTTAACCAAATAATAATAATAATAATAATAAATAAAAATGTGAGAGAGAGAGAGTGAGTGATTTGATCACTTCATTTCCTTTATGAATCAACATCCATTCCTTTGCAAACTGCGGCCGAAGGCAGGCCGTTTATGACTATTTAGTCAAAGTGTAGGATCAAAACTTGTAAATTGTCTCAATGAATTGCATGGAAATTAGAAATATCGTATATAAGCAATATTTTTGGTCTAAATTAAGTGAATTTGGTTGGATATATATATTTGACTTATTAGGCAGCAGTTGAACGTAAAATTTGAACTTTCGTACGTACATCTCCTACTTTGTTATTGCAAAAATAATTAGTGTTCGTATATGTATATAAATATGTTACAATTTGTATGAAAATAATGTACGCAATCAAGATAATTGAGATATTGGTCAATTAAGATAATTTTTTTGGAATTCGATTATGAATCAACGAAATTTTGACTCTTAGAATACGAGCATTCTTAAAATCAACATATTTTTTAAATTTGTTTCCCGTTGACATCAATTTCGCTACATCACTAATTGAATAAAAATAAAAAATAAGTTGATTAGAAACAGGGGCAGATGTAGACATTTTTAGTTAGGGGTACACAATCAAACTCTATACAAATCGAATATTTTGTTCTTGATTTTTGAATAATTTATACTCCATCCGAGAAAATGCAGATTTATATTTAAAAAATATTTCTTAATTAATATTTTACTCATTATTTTCATCCATTTGATTTCAAACAATAGTTTTATTAAGATTTTGCTCATCACAAGAATATGCATATTTATGTTTAAAAAATTTATAATGTATTTAATAAAAACAATCAATTCAAATGATCGAAAGGGAGAAAAATAAAAATATAACCAATATTCAATCGATAAATAAAATTGGATATAATCAATTCAGACACATTCTATGTACACAAATAGGATAGGAGAAAATACAAATTTAGGTTCTAATTAATTAAAAATTTGATTGAAAAGTGAAAATTTATAGTAGATATGATAATTTGTAGAAAATTTATAGACAATTTTTTTTAATAGACGGGTTAAGGTTTTGATGAAAAAGGTGAGGGAGGGCATGAGATAAAGTGGGAGAAAAGAGGGAAAAAAATTCAAAATTTATTATGATTTTGCCCATATTTGGTGAAGGTTAAAATCGAGTTTTTAGTATATTTTGATAAAAGTTAAGGATTCCATGAAATATGTTATTAAATTAATTGCTAACTTCGATTAAAATTATAATTTAGATTTCAATCGATACCAAACATTTTAATAAAAAAAAAAAAAAAAAGTTGGGGGTTCGCCCATGATTAGAAATAAGGATCTAGTCAAGTTAGTCGATGAATCTTGAATGATAATATTATCATAATTTATCTGAAGATAAGTTTTACCGTGCATATTCAAATCATAACATTAACCAATAATTATTGCAATTTTGTTGGTAAATTCAGTATTTTTAATATTTTCTCGGAAGAAAATAAAAATCATGACTCAACTAGATAAATTCCATATAAATTATTGGCTGTCCGATGCTTCATTCAAGGTGTAACCTGTCAAATTGTGTCGAGTTGCACGTCCAAGGTCAATGTTATCTCTATAAATTCATATTGGACAAATAAATAATCTCTTTAAATTTTTTTAATCCTCATCTTTAATTTAGAGAGTTTCCCAACTCCCTATTTATTTAGTCCGTGCATATTAAGAGTGTGTGTTTTTAATATATAATTTCGAATAAACAAATTTCTACATTTTATAATTTAAACTTCTAAATGAGTCAATTAATCATTACGTCATATCAATCAAAATCTCATGTCTGCATTTATCTTAAAAAATTATATCGAAGACAACGGGATATGGGTGTTAGAAATGAACTTGATCAGCCCCCAGGGCACATCTCCAAGTGGTAAAAATGGATGGTGGAGAAATCCAACTTTGCTTGAGGTTGCTGCGTCAAGGGTTCGAATCCTGAAATATGGATTTGACTCTTGGGTAAGTGCAAGTGTACAAGCAGCCTTCCACCCTGTACCCTTGGAGGCATAACCTGCGATTTACCTCCCTCACGATACTCCAGGATAGGGGTGGTGGGGGACCCTTAAGATTAGGGTTTAACCTTTTAGAAATGAACTTGATCGATTTTATTGATCAAATAAAGGGTCAAACTGGTGGATTTTAATTAAAAAAGCATCAAGCCAAATTTAGTCGGTTTTTCATATGCAAATTCTTTTCTCGCTACTTTAATTTAGCTTCTTAATCTAGATTATAAGTTAATTACACTTGTTTTAAGTTAAAAAAGCAACGCCATTTTAAACCCTACTTTTCTCCTTCAACTAAGTGACTCAACTTACACATGATTGGTAAAAAACCTGTCTAGGCCGTCTCGTATGAATGATTGCTCTAATACCATCGTTACAAGTAGTAGAACTCTGCATGATACATTTTTTTAGAGAAGATGTTCATTTTATTGATAAACTTGCAAGTTAAGCTTTATTTGACTATTTGAAATTCGATTAGGATATTTGTATTGATACTTTTACGAATTGAGGTTTCATTTTAAAAGATCAACCTTATTAAGATGAATAATTCAAACTTTATATGTTGGTCTATAATTTTATCTTTATTCGATGTGAAATTTATCGCTTAACATGTCTCTAAAATATGGTGGTTCATTTGAGCAAATCAATCTTGAAATTTGTATTCATGCTATTTTTTTAGTCTTATTTGGATTAAATTGTTCGTTGAAGTTTAATGGGTTCTGATACCGTATTAAGAGGAGTAATCCAAATTCTCATATGTTAGCCTATATTTTCATCTTTATTCGATGTGGACATTGTTCCTTAACAGATACGACCTACCTTGAAAATGATTAAATACATTCATGCATACTTAAATTTGAAAGTTTAGCTTTCACCGAACAACATAAAATTCGACTGGTATTAATAAGACTTGCATACCTTGATAAGCACATATTTTTCTATGGTGATCTTCTTTCTTTGTTTCCATTACGTAAGAGGTTACAAACTAGGGAGATTACTGCAGGAATAGGTTCAATGGTTTTGGTCATTGTCAGAGGAGTTCGTGTGTCATTTCATAAGCATCACTATACAAAGTTAATGTGTTATGTACAATGTATACGCGTATTTATCAAAGTTGAGCCCCATACAGAATCCCATTCCAGACTAAATTCAATCAGCTGACATTCACATCCATTAATCATTATCTTGAAACACCTTTTATTTGACAATTATACTACAAGTACACTTATTTTTACATCATTTTTAACAGCCCTCACACATAACACAAGTGAACCCCACAAGTAAAATAATCGCGGGACCCACTCGTGTGAGTGGGCTGTCAAAGTGAGTGTACAACAGGTACTATACACTCAGCTTAATTCTTTATTTAAACTTTGAAATATCAAATATGCAAGTACAAATACAAATCTAATGGGGATGCAGTTGAATCTTATCACTCTTTTTGAGTACTAAAAGACTTAAATCCATGGTTCGGTCAATTATAGGGCGGGACTAAGTTACATTTTAATGTGAAGTAAAATTTAAACGAGCTTTAAAATGGTTCCAGTATAGTTGATTATGAGTAAAGATAAGTTTAGATTCGTTAATTAGCATACAATTATATCTTAATTGACGATGTCCCCAATTTGTAGAAATTAACAATTAAGTTTAGCCCTATATTTCATAGGACTCACAACTTTTCAATTACATATTTCCTTAACTTTATCAAAATTTACTAAAAATCTGATTTTAGTTTCCACCACACAAGGAGTATATAATCTTTAAATTCCCTTAAGCTCGAGAAGATATTCAAAAAATCTAAGACACCTATCTTATATGCTCATAACTATTTTCTGACACATCAATGTACACTGAAAGTATAATTATGTGTCACCTAAATTGGTGTAATAACAACAGTAGTAGTGCTAAATTAGATTAATATTTCTTAAATGTTCTTAACTTTTATATCTCATAAACCTATATTATAGACATATAGAAACATGAGACTCGAGAATGTCCATACACAAAAACATATATATTACAAAATTTAGTTTTCTTTAACATTTTGAATGTTATATAAATTGGAAAAGATTTAACGGTGAGCAATGGGGGACGCGGTCGGGA